GCATTCAGTTCAGGAATCGCGCTCTCGCTTGGGGCTTCCTTACAACTTATCAAGGAATTGCTCTCCCTGCACTCTGGAGTCGCGCTTTCGCTGGAGACTTGCTTGCAATTTACTGAAGAATAGCGCCCTTGCGTTGGAAATTCTTGCAATTTACTCAAGCGCCGCGCTCCTGACACCTAGGCACCCAGGAGTCGCGCTCACGTGTAGGACGCCCTCACAGATTACCTAAGAATCGGGATCCCGCTGCCCTTCGTGGCCCCGTTGCAGCCCTTCGTGGCCCCCTCGCTTTGTTTCGTGGCCCTGTTGCAGCCCTTCGTGGCCCCCTCACTGCCCTTCGCGGCCCCGTTGCAGCCCCTCGTGGCCTCCTCGCTGCCCTTCGTGGCCCCGTTGCAGCCCTTCGTGGCCCCCTCGCTTTGTTTCGGCAGCCCAGTATACGTATGCCTTTCGTGGCCCCCGTTCGTTCGCGCCCGTTGTGGTCCCATGTGCATGCCCTTCGTGGCCCCGCTGTCGCCGTTTGTGGCCCCCTCACTGCCCTTCGTGGCCCAGTTTCTACCTTCAGTGGCCCCGTCGTTGCCTTCTGTGGCCCCGCATGATCTGCCCTTCGTGGCCCCCGATCGTTCGCGCCCGTCGTGGCCCCATGCGCATGCCCTTTGTGGCCCCGTTGTCGCCCTTCGTGGCCCCCTTCCTGCCCTTCGTGGCCCCGCTGTCGCCCTTCGTGGCCCCTTCGCTGCCCTTCGTGGCCCCGTTGCTGCCCTCAGGTGCCCCGTCGTTGCCTTCTGTGGCCCCACATGATCTGCCCTTCGTGGCCCCCGATCGTTCGGGCCCGTCGTGGCCCCGCCCTTGCCCTCCGCGGCCCAGTATACGTATGCTCTTCGTGGCCCCCGCTTGTTCGCGCTCTTCGTGGCCCCATAATACGCATGCCCTTCGTGTCCCCGCTGTCGCCCTTCGTGGCCTACTTCGTGTCCTTGTGGCCCTGCTGTCGTTTTCTCTCTCTCTCTCTCTCTCTCGCTTTCGCTCGTCGTTTTCGTCGCCGTCGACGTCGTCGTCGTCGTCGTCGTGGTCGGTCCCCTGTCCGTCCCTCTTGGGGTCGGGTCGACGGTCCGCGGCCGCCACGCCGATCAGCGCTGCCGCTGGCCAGGCCGACGGTCCGCGGCCGCCCCGCCGCTTGCCGGGGTCTGGCCTGCAGGAAAGAAAGGTATACCCCCCAGAAGGGGTTCGATCGAAGACGAAGAGGGCGGGTATCGAGGGTTTGGGAAATACGCGTGATTGGACACTCGAGCAGATAAGGGCGAACAGTCTTAAAACGATTGTTGTTGTTGTTGTTGTTGTTGTTGTTGTTGTTGTTGTTGTTGTTGTTGTTGTTGTTGTTGTTGAACATTATTTCTTCTAAAGAATAATTATTGTTGGGACCCCTGGTGCACGGCCCCCTCGCCGCGCCCAGGCCGCAGCCACATTTTTATCATTTTCGTGAGGAAGTCTCAGGTAAAACGATGTGATCCAGATCCGGTTGTTTTGTTACGGGCGGTTTTCCCTTGCAAAAAATAAGGCGAAGTGGACATTTCTTGCTCTAACATAACCAAACTTCACGAATCCCTTGCAAAAAAATAAGGTAAAGTGGACATTCGCGCGCGCAAGACGAAATCCTTCCAAAACCTTAGTGTTCGTAGCGATTTTAACATAAAAACATCAAAAAAACAATGTTTTTTCCAAAAAAAAATGTTAAAATTTCATCCCGCGCGCTCTCGCGGATTTGTAGGAAACCCAACATGTTTTAAACATTTCTGTCAAACGGGCTTTTGCGAGCAACTTTTTCACGTGCTTCGCTGTGCAAGAATGTGTCCAGTGCTGGAGCAGGGGGAAAAGTCGTATACTAAGCTAGCGTCCAGAAAATGTTACCACAACAAGTCACTGTACCCATGCGCCAGTGTAGTAGCCACGGTCGTCCGCAGGCCACGAAGTGAAGTGTCCGAACGTCATAGGGCGGGAAGCTGGGTGTGGGTGGTGGCGAAGAGTCGTTTGGAAATGTGGTAGAGCTTGAACCGGCCCCCCCACAAAGTGGGGGTATTGGCGGGCGTCGTATGAAAACCCTGGCACTGGTGAGAACGGAGTGTCCCCACGTGCTAGTAATTGTTGTTGTTGTTGTTGTTGTTGTTGTTGTTGTTGTTGTTGTTGTTGTTGAACATTATTACTTCTAAAGAATAATTATTGTTGGGGCCCCTGGTGCACGGCCCCCCGCCGCGCCTAGGCCGCAGCCATGTTTTCATCATTTTCGTGAGGAAGTCTCAGGCAAAACGGGTTGGTCCGGATCCGGTTGTTTTGTTACGGGCGGTTTTCCCTTGCAAAAAATAAGGCAAAGTGGACATTTCTTGTTCTAACATAACCAAACTTCAAGAATCCCTTGCAAAAAATAAGGTAAAGTGGACATTCGCGCGCGCAAGACGAAATCCTTCCAAAACCTTAGTGTTCGTAGCGATTTTAACATAAAAACATCAAAAAACCAATGGTTTTTCAAAAAAAAAAAAAAAAAAAGTGTCAAAATTTCATCCCGCGCGCTCTTGCGGATTTGTAGGAAACCCAACACTTTTTAAACATTTCTGTCAAACGGGCTTTTGCGAGCAACTTTTCACGTGCTTCGAACTTCTCCAACAACGGTTGCGCACCTGCCAGGGCCATCATCCCTGTCAAATAATACCATGCGGGACACATTCGTTTTTTCTTCGCGCGCGCACGCCGAAATCTTCAAAAACCATTGGGTTTCTTAGGAATTTTAGCACCGCGCAACATAAAATCATACGAATCGCACCGTAGGTCCTCGAAAAACATCTGTACGAATTTGTTACCACAAATGTTACCACAACAAGTCACTGTACCCATGCGCCAGTGTAGTAGCCACGGTCGTCCGCAGGCCACGAAGTGAAGTGTCCGAACGTCATAGGGCGGGAAGCTGGGTGTGGGTGGTGGCGAAGAGTCGTTTGGAAATGTGGTAGAGCTTGAACCGGCCCCCCCACAAAGTGGGGGTATTGGCGGGCGTCGTATGCAAACCCTGGCACTGGTGAGAACGGAGTGTCCCCACGTGCTAGTAATTGTTGTTGTTGTTGTTGTTGTTGGTATTGTTGTTGTCTGCTTTGGGGGACCCTTACCGGGCTTTGGGACCGCCAAAAAACGGCTCAGCATGAGAAGTTGGTCCCGGGGAGTGGGTCGAGGCTTTGGGGGATCGACGTTACGAAAAAAAAAAAAAACACGACAGGGGTTTGGGTTCCCTTCCTCCTTCCCGTCCACCTGAGCACTGGGGAGCGCCACGGCTCGCGAATTGCTCCGTGCCAGCCTGACCCAGGTGACTTCTCCCAGACAACATCATGCCTCCCCAGTGCCTTGCCCCCGGCGATAATTCACTGTCAGCCCCTTCGTCGTCCCGGAAAAATGGGCCGTGAGGAACTGAAGTGAAGTTTTCCCCACCCGGCAGGTTGTGTGGCTGTTACAGAAGGAATGTCCGCCCTGCCTCGCACACGCTGCATGCCGCGGCCGCCAGGCCCAAAGCGTGCCGATGGTTCCTGGATCTCCCGCCTTGCGTCGCCGTCGAATGACGACTGCATGCCGCGGCCGCCAGGTCCAGAGGGTGCCGGCGTTCCTTGGGGATCCCGCTTCGCGTTCTCGGGTGGGGATCGCTCGGGACAAGATGTTTGTTTGTGTCGAACATTCGCTCCGGGGGAATTCGCTCGGAATTCCCAGAGCTCTCTTTCGGGCACCTCGTGAGAGCTTAGGCGCGCGTGGTGCATCGGGCGCCACCTGCACCTTTTCCATACACAGCGCTTCCCGTGGCAGAGGGGAGGCGGAGGAGGAGGAGAAGGAGAACGAGGAGGAGGAGGAGGAGGAGTAGGAGGAGGAAGAGGAAGAGGACGAGAAGGAGGAAAAGGAGGAAGAGGAAGAGGAGAAGGAAGAGGTGGAGGAGGAGGAGAACCAGTTCAAACTCAAGGGTCATCAACGATGTTGGTGTAGACCCTCCCTCCAAGCTCCCTCTTCCTGCAAGGGTTCATTTCCACTGAGTGAACTGCCTCGTTGGAAGCTAACAGTTTGAAGACCCTGAAGCGTGCCAAAACATGATTCTCGGGACTCGAACGCCACGGATCAACCTGACCCTTGCGACTTGACCATCCTGAATCGTGCCAAACGCCACTCCTGGGACCTGAACACCGTGAATTAACACAACTGCTGCATCCTCATAATCCTAAATCCTTCCAGGACCTCATTTTTGGTTCGCTGACCATGGGAATCCGTGAATCCCTTGCGTTGTTTAAAAAGGAATGCACGCGGCGCTGAGGCGAGAGCCACATTTTGAAAACGAGCCGCCCTCAACGCGTGAAGTTTCTGCAGTTGTTGAAAGCGAATGTGCGCGGCGCCAAGGCGAGAGCCATTTGAAAACCACCCGCCGCCCTCAGCCCGTGAAACTCTTGCAATTTGTTACAAAGAAGGCGCGAGCCACATTTTGAAGACAACCCGCCCTCAATCCGATACATTATTCTATGTCTTAACGCATGTGCGCGGTGCTGAGGCGAGAGCCACAGTTTGAAAACAACCTGCCCTCCATCTGTGAAGCTGTTGCCAATGTTTTAGCTTCAGGGTCATTCGTGGTGAGGATGTCTTAGGCGAAACGCCTGGCCAGCCCAGTCGACCGGCCTCGGGGTGCGACAGGGAGAAGGTTTTTGTTAAGGAAAGAATATTTGGAGGATGGGGGGGAGGAGGAGGAGGAGGAGGAGGAGGAGGAGGAGGAGGAGGAGGAGGAGGAGGAGGAGGAGGAGGCAAGCGGTCTGCTCATCAGGCATAGACATGCTGCATCCTGATTTTTCCAAGTCTACGCGTACCCTGGAAGCCCCAGCCCTTTCTGTGGGCATCTTTTTCTGGCGGTCCCGAGCCCAGCGAGGGCCCGCAGAAGGCCGAAAAGTAAGAACAAAAACTTAGTCCTGGCTCTTTTTCGACGCGAGCATGTCGGGGGATGTGTGATGCAAGCGGGCCTCTCGGCTCGAGGCCCAGCGGGCCCCGCCCAGCCGCGCCAGCCCTCGCAGCCGCGATGGCCGCCCCGACCGCAGTGGTGCCGGCCGGCGCGCCGGCGGCAGCGGCGGCGGCGGCGGCCGCGCCGCCAGCGAAGCCCCCCGCGGAGGCGGCGGACGCGGGCCTGCCCAAGGCTCGCGGCGTGAAGGGAAGCCGGTCAGACCCAGACCCCCTCGAGTCATGAAACGATCACGGCGGCAGGGTTTTCTATCTCTCTGTCTCTGTCTTCCTCTCGTTCGCTTGTCCCTTGTCTCACCGTCGTCAATTGTCATGCATGGCGGCGCCCCGGCGCCCACCTGCAGCGCCCCCGCGGCGCCTCGACTGCAGGCCGATGTCCGATGTCCGATGTCCTAGGGTTTTCTATATTTTCATCCTCTGGGGCCCCTCACCGGTCTTCGGGGCCGTCGAAAAACGATGCAGGATGCAAAACCTGTCCCAGGGAATGGGTCGGGAAATCTGGGGGTCCACGTGATGAAGAAGAAGTCATAGCGTCGGGGGCCTGGGGAGGAGGAACAGGGGAACCCATGCCGCTACCCTTCCCTCGTTTCACAGTTTTTCGGCCTCCTGGTGGGCCCTCGTCGCCACGGCTGGATTTGCCCCGGAATTCTGGTCCGAAGGCACCCCGCGGAGAGGTCCGTGGAGGAGCGGTATATGCCCCAGGCGTGCTCGCGTCTTGGAAGAATCCAGGGTGAAGGTTCTTATTGTTTTCGGCAGACGACACGCCCCAGGACCGTCAAAAAACTGGCCCAGGTGAAAGGGTCGAGACGTCTGGGCGCCGCGCAGTGAAAGCACGAGACGCCGCATGTCTGTCGGGCCGGACGAAAGGGGGGGATTGGGAAAGGGGGGGTTGCGAAATCTGCTGCATGCAGCTGGTTTCGGCCCCCCCGAGGGGCCCATTCCTCGATACATGGCCGCCTCTGGCGCCGGGAGGCGCCGGGAAAATCAACCACATGAGCTAATTCTCAACCCCCCCCCTTTGCTATCCCCCCCTTTCGCCCGGCCCGAGTCTGGGGCGGACGCGGGCCTGCCCATGGCTTTCTGCACGAAGGGAAATCTAAGTCCAGTGGTGGTCCAAAGGATGGGGTCCTGAGGGACGGGGTCATGAGGGCGACGTGCCTCAAACAGCGTAGAAAAACCCTTGGATCCCCTCTTAATATCCTTAGGACCCCATCCCTCCCGCCCCCACCTTGGAACCACCGAGGGAAGCGGCCCTCCGAGCCCAGACCCCCGACGTCGTGATTTGTTCGCAACGTCCCCTGAGACCCTGGCGCCACAATTTTTTCCCACCGGGCGGTTTCGCTCAATTTCGCGCCCCGGGACCTTCACACATCGATCCAGCTCGAAATATGATTCAGAGAGATGGGATCCAGGGCTCTGGTCGTGATTTTCGCGATGATGTTGCATTTTTCCTCGCACGGTCGGATCTCAGGGTCGACCCAAAGAGGTCCGAACCCCTTACCCGGGGCTGTTTTTTTTTTTCCCCCTGGGTCGCTTCTTGGCGGTCCCCAGGCCCCGCAATGGCCTCCAGGGGCCGAATATAGCGAAAAACCTCCCGTCGCGATTTTTCATGACTCGAGGGGTTCTGGAAGGGAAGCGGGTCCTCGGAGGGGTTTGGGGGCCGATGCCTCGGGCCCCGGGAGCCTGCTGGGACCTGGCGCCGCAGGTTTTTTTTCTCCGCTGCTGGTCCAGGTTCTGGCGTCTGGCCCCCTACCCGCCCTCATGCTGATGCCATCGGGCCCACCCCCCCACCCTCCCCGCGCGATGGTCCCCCCCCCCCGTGTGGGTGTGGTGTTGTGCTGTGGGTGTGGCATGTGCGGCTTGGTGCTGTGGTGCTCCAGGAGACCTCCGGAGGTCGTCGCCGCCGCCGCCGCCGTCGTCGTCGAAGGGCTCCGGAGGTCGACGCCGTCGTCGCCGCCGCCGCCGCCGCCGCCGCCGTCGTCGTCGTCGTCGTCGTCGTCGTCGTCGTCGTCGTCGTCGTCGTCGTCGTCGTCGTCGTCGTCGTCGTCGTCGTCGTCGTCGTCCCGCCCCATCCCATCAGGGGGCGGCGGGGTGGCCCGTGGAGCCCAGGGGCCCATCCCATCTAGGGGGGGGGGCCGTGGGCTCGGAGTCCAGGATCGTATGACGCAGATCGGCACGGCCTCGCACAGGTGGTGGACCAGGGTCACAGATCACGGATCAGGGGGGGTGGACAGGCGGGATCTCGATGGGGCTCTGGCCGTGGTGCCCCGCGATGCTGCCATCCCAGGGTGCTGCCAGAAGTGCTCCTGGCCCAAGGTGCCCTCCGGATTTCCAGGGAGGCCCAGGAGCGGCCCTCAGAGCACCCCTCACGAGGCCCAGAAGGCCCCACGGGCTCCAACATGGAGCGAGGAGCTGGGGCTTGGCATCGCTCGGACGTGTGCATTTTTCCTTCGGCGAGGACCATCGAGGAGCATCCTTGATCAATTGGCGAAAAAACCACGCGCGAAACCGAAAAAAACACAGGGAATGGACGCCCGAGCGATGGCCAGGGGGGCACCTTGGGACGACCGGCGACGCCGAGCCTGCCCGCGCCGCGCCACCGCCCAGCAGCGCTCCCGGCCGCGCCCCCCGCCCCAGAGCCCTTCGAGCTCGGGCGGGCGCTAACACGGATCATGGATCCGCGGACCTGGCGCGAGCGGAGCGAGGCGCTGGGGGGCACCTTGGGACGACCGACGACGACAAGCCTGCCCGCGCCGCGCCACCGCCCAGCAGCGTTCCCGGCCGCGCACCCCGCCCCGGAGCCCTTCGAGTTCGGGCGGGCGCTGACACGGATCATGGATCCGTGGATCTGGCGCGTTCGCGCCAGATCCACGGATGAGGCGGATGAGGCGATTTGGTTCCCATCGTCTTCGAAACGGGCGGCCGCCCGGGGGACGCCGCCGTGGCCTACGTGCGCTCCTTGGCGCACGGCCTCGAGGGGGCAGCCCGCACCGAGGTGCTACGCTACGCCTGGCAGCTATTGAGCTGCTTGCTCCAAGTGGGCAATGCCGAGGCGCTGCTGGCCGCCATCGGCCGGTGCGTACGAGGCCCAGCCACAAGGCAAGGCAGGGGCAGCCCCGCTCCGAGCCAGCAGGGGCGCGGGCGCGGGGGCCCGGAGTGACGCAGCGCGCAGCCCCGCAGACACCAGCCGCAGCAGCGGACAACCACCGCCGACGACGATGACCGACCCCCATGACCGACAACCCCCTGGGAACGACGCCGACCGACCCCCGTCTCCCTTTCCTCCCTTGCCCCCTCCCCTTTTCCATTGTGCCGGGCGCCCTCGGCCAGCAGTTGCGTCTCCAAGAGGCGATCTCCACAGGTTCGCCTTCTTTTCCGCGGGCCGCCCCTTTCTCCTCCTTTTCCTCCCCCCCCCTCCTGGCAGGTGCGTAATCCGCCCGCGGGGAGCATAACATCCCTTGCGTGGGGGCTTAGCTTAAATTCGACAGTTTGCAACGCCCCAAAATGGATTCGGTTTAGAGCGTGGCCCCCAGGACTGATGTTCAGGGCCGCCCCCTGAGGGCTGGTGGGGGCGCCACACCCGCGACCAGCAGGAAGCGGAGGAGGAGGAGCAGGAGGAGGGAGGAGAGAGGAGGCCCCCACGAAACATGAGGCCCGTGTCGCCCGATGTGGCGACGGCTCGCGCCGCTCCTGCACGGAAGCGGGACCCGTCGCTGATCCACGCGCCGCTAGTCCCTCCTTGCGATTCCTTGACACATGCGAGGTCTCAGCTCCTTTGGTACGGGATCCTTGGAAGTTACGACCTTCCCCCCAAAAGGCCAGATTTGCACGCCCAGCAGTGTTTTTTTCGGCCCTGGGGCCCGGCGAGGGCCCCCAGAGGCCGGAGACTGTCAGAAATTTCCCGCCGGGATCTTTTTCACGAGGAGCGCTCGGCTCCAGGCGAGTGGAGCGCGACCGGAACCACCAGCGCACTGACCTGACCAAGCAGCCGTGGATTTGAGGCCTCAAGGTCATGCCCAGAGATCCGATGTTGTGATTTTTTTCAATACGCGGTCCCTGGAAGTCTCGACCCATTTCCCAGGACCGGTTTTTCATCCTGAGTCGTGTTTTGATGGTCCCGAGGCCCGGCGGGAGCCCTAGGGGCCGAAATTTTAGAAAAAATGTTGTCCTGTTTTTTGTCAATGCGTTGGATCCCTGGGTGACGAGTCAGGTCCATGCTCAGGTCTCCCAGGCGCCACCTGGAAAGGGCTCCGCCGGCACGCTCGCTGACCAGACTTTTCTTCTATCCCGCATCCACCTCGCAAGAGGTGAAGATCCTCCCCGGCTGCGAGCAGCTGGCGAGCCTGTGCCGGGCGGGGGACGTCGACCTGCTGAGGGCCCACTTGGAGGATCGACGGCGAGCCGGGGGGAGGGGGCAGTGTTAACTCGGGCCTGCCCCTCTACTGCAAGGATATTCAAAAATAATTCAAAAATAATCAGGGGACAATTGTTCAGGCTATTTTTGAGCACTTATTGGGCATTTCTCGTCTCAAATCCCCCTGTAGGGGGGCAGGCCCGACCTAAGGATCGTGAGCGGGGGCAGTGGCTTCGGAGAAGCTCCCTCAAGGCTTCTCAGAAGGCGCGGGGGCGTCTGAGGAGCCCTGCCGCCCTCTGAGGAGGCCTGCCCCCTCGCACTTCTCGGCGGCGCCGTCTGAACCCCCACTCCAGATTTCGTAACAAAAGGGAGGGGGGTGTCATTTCGGGGGGGGGTCCCTTCCAGGCTATCTTGGAGGGCCTGGGGGGGTCTGGGGGCGGTGTTTTGGGGGGTTCTCCCACGGGGGAGGTCTGAAATGGCTTGTTTTGGAGGGTCCAGACCCCCTCCCTTTTATTACGACATCTGGAGTACCCTCGCCGACCAACGGCTCCGGCAACTCGACGGGCAACGGAGGTAGGATCTGGAACTCGTCGAACGCGTGGCGGAAACCGCGCCCTGCCCCGGCCCCCCACCGATTCAGGAGCGTCGGCGGCTGGTGGGGGTGAGGTCGGGATGTCGCCACCTGCTCGCGTCGTGCCGACGCGGCTGCTGGACCACAGCGCGGCCCATCAACATGGAACGTCGCCGGTGTCCCAGAGTCGACCAACATCTTGGCATCGCTCGGACGTGTGCATTTTTCCTTCGGCGGGGACCATCGAGGAGCATCCTTGACCATGTGGAGAAAGAACCACGCACGAAATCGAAAAAACACAGGGAATGGACGTCCGAGCGATGGCCAGACATGGAAGAACGTGGCGATCGAGAAGCCGCCGATCGTTCAAGGTGGGACAAGCCACGCTGTGTCGGGAGCCATGCCCCAGGCATCTGGCGTCTCGATTTCTGTCGAGGCGCGGGCCCCCGGCCGCTCGACTACCTCCCTGGGGCCGGTTCTGCATCCCGAGTCGTTTTGTTGACGGTCCCGAGGCCCAGTGAGGGCCTCCAGAGGCCGAGAGCGATGAAAAGCTGCCGTCTAGATTTTTTCGACGCGCCCGGTGCAATGGAGGATGACGATGAGTAAAAAACCGGGGGTCGTGTTCACGCGGCGGCGCCCAGGGTGACGATTAGAAAAAACCGGCCGCGGGCTGGATTTTTTTATTAATCGTTCTCCTCCAGTCAGAGAGTTGTGCAGAAATAGCAGAAGACTATTTTTTGAATCGTTCTCTCCGATTTTTTGTATCAATCGTCATCCCGCATTATGGGACGCCGGGGTCGCCCTGGGGTACGGGTCGGACGTTGTCGCCGAAGTTCCCGCCTCCTGGGCTCGCCGCCGAGAGGAGGCCACAGACGCAGACCTCGGCGCGCCGCTCGACAGCGACGGCAACACCGGCCTGCACCTGGCGGCCTTCTTCGGCCACCTGCGGATATCGATGGCAGCGTGAACCGGGGGGGCACGGCACGGTCGGGAGCTTGTACCAAGCAGTGGCGAAGCGTCTTAGAACCGTTTGTGGTCTGCACGACATGTTCTTAGGACGTGCCTGGCTGGAAGTGCTTCGTTTCACACATCGGGCCCATGTTCTAAGAACGGTTTTGTTCTTAGAGCATTCTTGGGCTCTAGGAACATGTGCTGGTAGGCTTATAGGAATGCCAGGACGACCGGTCCCTGCTCAATTTTATAGCGTGCCTCTCCGGCAGCTCTGGCCCACCACGCTTCGGTGCGGCACGCTACTCCAGATTTCGTCATAAAGGGAGGGGGGTCTCATTTCGGGGGGAGGGGTCTCTTCCAGGCCATCTTGGAGGGCCTGGGGGGTCTGGGGACGATGTTTTGGAGGGTTCTCCCACGGGGGAGGTCTGAAATGGCTTGTCTTGGAGGGTCCAGACCCCCTCCCTTTTATTACGAAATCTGGAGTATCCTCTTTTCCGGCCCCCCAGCGTCCACGCCCCGAGCCTCCCCGAGCCTCCCGCCCCGCGAAGAGGAGCGACGCGCGATCGCCTCGCACGACAGCGTGTCGCCTGGGCCGCCGCCGCGACACGCCACAGTCGGGGCGCTGAGGAAGGAACCCTTTTCGTTGCGGAGGGGCTCGGTGTTCCTTGATTGTTTCAAAGTTAGCCTCGGGTTTCCCCGAGGTTTTCGATGGGAAATCGAGGTTGAACTTCTGGAAAAGGGGGCCTCGTTCCTTATTATGGATTCCTTGGGTCAACGCCTCGACTGTACGCAAAAGTTCCCGAACCCAGAGGGTCGGCGGCCTCAAAAGATGAGGTCATGCGAAGATGTATATTTTGCAGTTCCAGCGTCCGGGAAAATGAGGCTTGATGGTGCTGGGGCCTCACAGATGAGCCCTCGTCGGCAATGTTTGGTGGTGGGCTTCATTTTTCGGTCTCACGGTGCGGCCTCATGTTTTGATCCCACGTTTGGGGCTTGTGCAGTCTGGCGCGCCAGACCGACCGCGGCAATCTTATATCGCATATATCGAGATCCGATGAGAGGGAGAGAGAGAGAGAGAGAGAGAGAAGGAGCGAGAGAGAGAGAGAGAACGAGAGATAGAGAGAGAGAGAGAGATAGAGAGAGAGGGAGAGAAAGATATATGTAGAGAGAGACAGGGAGATAATTAGATATGTAGAGAGAGAGAGAGAGAGAAAAAACGAAAGAGAGAGAGAGAGAGAGAGAGCGCGCTGCCCAGGCAGAGTCTCGTGGGCCCCTGGAGGCCTGTCGGGGGCCTTCTGGCAATCTCGGGGGCCATTTTGTGGGGAACGGCATGGGCATCTCAATTCAGATGCCCCCTCCTGGGCCCCTCTTGGGGGCCTTTGGAGCGGCTTCAGTTTGGGCTTCTATTGTATTGGCCCACGAGATAGGCCACGATGTTATTAGGCGCGACCGATCGCCGGCCAACCCATCGGCGGAGGAGGGAGGAAACAGGAAAAGGACACAGCAGGAGGAGGTTCCAGAGGAGGAGAGCAAGGGAGGGGAGAGGAGAGGGAAGGAACGGAGAGGAGAGGGACAGACAGGGAAGTTGTGTTGTCAGGAGCAGGGGGGGAAGGGGGGGGGAGGGGGCGAAAGACGAGGGCCCTCCCTTGGCACGGGCGCGCCATTTGGCACGGACGCGGGCCCCTCCGCGCAGAGATCCTGCAGCCTTCCCCGCTCACAGCGGGGGAGGCTGCCACCCAGCGATCTCAAACGTGAGTTCATTCAGCACGTTGGCGAACGCCTCGCCCAAAGATGCGGCGAGGGCGAGGCGGAGGGGAGGAAGGAGGTGAGGAAGGAGGGAGGGAGGGAGGAACAAGGATGCCAATCGAGGAGACAGGGTGAGAGAGGGAGAGGGTGGATGAGGGTTAGGGGGGCGAGGGGGCAGGGGAGGGCTGCGAGGGACGGAACCAGCGCAAGGGTTGCATCCTCTCTTCCCTGTCCCTTCCCTTCTGCCTCGCCTTCTCCTGTGGGTCTGGTGCCTGGTCCGCGCGCTCTCGCGACGCGAGTTCGCCCCCCCCCCCCCCCCCCCCCCCCGCGCCAGTCCGCGCATCTCTCTCTCGCCTCTCTCCCCCTTGCGCGCGGCCTCGCACGTGCCCAGTGGGCAGCGGGCGGACGCAGACAGGCATCTGCCCCCCTCGATACAGCCAGCGCCGTTCGCGTGCCAGGCGTCACCGTCGCCCTTCTCCCTGGGCGGGGCGCGGGCACAGAGGATGTAGGAAGGGGGGTGGGGGGGCGGAGGCAGGAGGTGGGGAAGGAGAGGGGCAAGGAGGGAGGAAGGATGGGATGATCAGAGCCCCCCCCTTCGCCGTCGACGACACCGCACTTGTCCTCCACGTCCTATCATCATTGTTCCCAGGGCCTCGCCGCATCGATTCGATCGAGTGCGGCCCCGGAAGAGGGCCAGGGGGGCCGGGGACGCAGCGCGGGCTCCTGCTGCGGGGGGCGCGTCTTGGTCATGTGCTTCTTGAACGCAGGCTTGCGGTCTACCATGGTCCGCGTGGGCTTCGGGACGGGGTGGCCGAATCCTCGCGATGGGCGTCAGCTCGTGTTCAGGCGGCTTGATCTCTCTCTCTCTCTCGTTCTATCCTGCCTTTCTTTTTTGTTGTTCTCTCTCTCTCTCTCTCTCTTCCTCGCCCTTGCGCTCTCCATCTGTCCCTCCCGACCCAGGTCGTTCTCTCTCTCTCTCTCTATCTCTGTCTCTCTCGCTTTCTCTTTCTCGCTCCCGGTATCCCTCTCTCTCTATATATATATATAGATCCTTCTCTCTTTCTCTTTCTCGTTACCTTTCTCTGTCTCTCTCTCTCTCTCTTTCAGCCCTCCCTCTCTCTCTCGTATCTCTATATATATAAATATGCGTGTATATATATATATAAATATAAAAATGTATGTATAGTAGTTGTTGCTTCTCTCTCTCTCTCTTTCTCTCTCTCTCTCTCCCACTCTCTCTCTCTCTCTCTTTCTCCATCGGTCACGCCCTACCTTCCGCGTTCGCAGATTATCACTCTCATCGTGGCCGGGAGGTTTCTGTTTCGGTCCCTCCCCAAGTTCTATCTCTCTCGCTCTCTCTGTCCCTGTCATTATATATCTCTGGTTCGCTCCTCCCCATGCCTCGCGTCGTCTTTCCACTATCCACGGGTTTCCGCTCCCATCTAGTATGCTCTCTTCTCCGCGCGCGCACCCCCATCCCGCTGGCCTCGCCCCGCCCTTTGCCGAGCGTCGGGGCCGATCCTCCAGGCCACGAGCTGGCGGATTCGCTCCGAAGCTCCGCGCGGGCGTCCGCCTGGGCGAGCTCCCGAGCCCGCCCGTCTCGCCCCCGATGTTCCCCACCGCTCCCGCCCGACCGCCTGGCGCCCAGGGTCTGCCCGCCCGCCCCTCCGCCCGGCTTCCGGGGACTGTAGAATAGCCCAGGATCGCATAAACAAAAACATAACACTGGTTTATATCTATATATATATACATATGTATACATACACACATAAAACAAAAAAAACATAACAAAACAACAAAACAACAGGATCGCATAGTTCCCACCCAGTTCCACTGCGACTGTCTCATTTCGTGGGCGGGGGGGGGCCCTAGCTGGGTTCATGGCTGCCGCGCCTGGTCAGGGGGAAGGAAGCGCAGGAACCTGTACCACCCTCCCGCTGGCAAATCCTTGCGCACAGCAGGTGGCCGCGTTGCATCTTTGAGGCGTGAGCTCGCACGGACGGCGGGCGGGGGGCAGGGAGGGCGAGCGAGCCCCTCACGGAGCGCAGCGCGCCCTAATCGGTTCGAGGCCCCACGGGCGCGGGCGAGGGCGAGACGGCCGAGGAGATCCACTGGCGTTGGGGGGAGGGGGGGCGGCATGGACACGAGCGAGGGGGGGGATCGAGGGAGCCGATGGGGATCGAATGAGCGAGGGTGGAGGATGCGAGATGGGGATCCGCATCGAGGGCAGCACAATCCCCACGGCAGCGACTTCGGCCACCACGTTGCCGCCCCGCGCGGGCTTGTGGCTGGCGGCTTCTCCACGATGCCTGCGCTGCGTCTGCCGGTGCCTCGGGGTCGAGGCCGCAACAGAACACCAGGAGCCAGCGGTGCCGACAGGAACGAACAGATCGGGGATCGACCATGAAATGATTCGTCGGTGAGGGCCTCGAAGACCGTGTCAGGCGACTGGGGCCGATTGTGCCGACGTGGGTCGGCCCTGCTCCATAGTCATGGTAGTTGCGACGTCGAGCCATGCGTCGATCCTTCTCACTTCTCACCCCCATTACCGCCGCCGTCTTTTCTCATTCCACCATCATCTTCTGCTGGCCTCCTGCATGTGCATCCTCTCCTCGATCGGCTCTTCCATTTCGCAGTCGGGCAATCTCCAGGGGGGAGCGCCAATGATAAGGGGAGGGGGGAACAGGGACCGTTCCCCAAGCCACCCCAGGGACTGCAGTGGAGATTCCGAACCCGCATCGCCCACGTTCAAGCAGCCCCAGGGCCCGCAGGACGGCGCCATCCAAACCGCGCCACCAGGGGCGACTCGAAACAGAACGGGAGCACCGTCATCGCACAGGGGGAACGGGCGGCCACTGCGGGGCACGACGGGCGATGACGGGGCTCGGGCACGGGTTGGCTCGGCATCGCTCGGACGTGTGCATGTTTCCTTCGGCGAGGACTATCGAGGAGCATCCTTGATCATTTCGCGAAAAAGCCACGCACGAAACCGGCAAAAGCACAGGAAATGGACGTCCGAGCGATGGCCAGTTGGAGACGCGGCCGTCCCCTGCGCCGGGGGGCGGGGCGGCGGATGGCGGCCAGGCAGGAGGGGTTCGAACGGGGGCCGAGGAAGGAGGGGGGAGGGGTGGCACAGGAAAGACGGAGGACACGAAGGGCCACGAGGGATGGGACGAGGAGGAGGAGGAGGAGGAAGAGGAGGAGGAGGAGGAGGGGGAGGAGGAGGAGGGGGAGGGGGAGGAGGAGGAGGAGGAGGAGGAGGAGGAGGAGGAGGAGGAGGAGGAGGAGGAAAAGGAGCCTGGACGAGGTGGGAAGGGGGGCGTGGTGTAAGAGCTAGCGGGCGAGGCAGAGGGCAATGGCAGACTTGGGCGCGTCCCCCCAACGGGCTTCTGATCTGACGGCGTCGAGCTCGCAGCGCTCGAAGCCAGCCTTGCAGGGGGGGGGGGGGGGGGGGGGCTTCTCGCCTCCCCACCCCCCCCAGAGCGCCCATCCTCCAGGTCTCGAGGCTGCGGGGAGATTGGGGCATTCTCGAGGAGACGGGAAGGAGACGACGGTGCATGCCTGCTCGAGTAAGAGGGAGGTGGAGGCGGAGGAACTGGGGAGGTATACGAGGAAGGGGGAGCGCCCCACTCCCGCGCATCCACGCCGCCCAACACACTACACATTCAACATGGCAGTCGGACAGTAGGGCCCACGCCCATGATACACCGTTCCGCGATTTCTTGGACAGCTCTTGGCACATCCTGATGATCCGATCCGCGTTTGTTTCTTGACGTCGGGCAGGTCTGTCTTCTTGACCTCGCAGCGCGTCGCGAGGGGCAGTGATTCCTCTCCTCCCCCGTCGAGTCCTCGCTCGCATCCCCTTATCCCTCTCCCCCTTGCCACCTCCATCACGCCGCCCGACCCCTTCCTTCCCTCTGGTGAAGACTGAGGCAGACAAAGGTAGACAACGGTAGACATCATGTCTACCTTTGTCTACCTCCGCGGTCGAGTCTTGCGGCCGTTCCCAGGCCCCATTCCAAGCCTTGTCCATTTTCCTCCCTCATCAGCTCCGCTCACTTCCTCCCCCCCATCGCCTTCCAATCCTTGTCCGCAGCAAGCTCGATGAGCGTCTCCTGAAAACAGTTTTCTGTCAAAGAACAACTTCTGCTGCACCTGCGGGCGTGCCCCCCCCCCCTACTCCGCAATATTTTCCCTTTCCCCTTCCATTTTTCACCTCGTCGTTCCCTTTGGTCGTCCAGTTTATTCCACCTCTCCTACTCCTCTCCCTTCCCCTCTTATTCCATGTAGCTACCCCCCCTGGGTGAGAGGAGTGCGCGGCGATCCCCCAGTCCCACCTTGTGCAGGATTCTGAGCAGGGCAGCGTTGGCCTTCACGGCGGTTTCGACCGCGATGGGGTAGTCGAAACCAAAGTTCTAGGAGGGGGGGGAGACGGAGGAAGAGGAGAAGGAGGAAAAGGAAGAGGAGGAAGAGGAGGAGGAGTATCGGAGGAGGACGAGGATGAGGATGAGGATGCGGAGGAGGAGGAGGAGGCGGAGGAGGAGGAGGAGGCGGAGGAGGAGGAGGAGGAGAGGGCAACGATCACGGATGAGGGGGTTAATGAGGAGGCGACGGACGAGCCACGATGAGGACGAGTATCGACGAAGAGCAGTGGGAAGGGCGAGCGCGGCGGACGAGCTCAGCAGTCCGCTCCTGGACCCTCGTCCCCGCTCCGTCCTGCCCCACTGTAGTCCCACCCGCCGCCCCAGTGTCGCATCCCCTGTGCGCGACATTATCTCCCCTCCTCCTTCCTCCTCCTCCTCTTTCTCCTCCTCCTCTTTCTCCTCCTCCTCCTCCTCCTCCTCCTCCTCCTCCTCCTCCTCCTCTGCCTCGTCCAAGGCCTCTTCCTCCCCCCCTCCGTTGTTGTGTTCCCTTCTTCCGTCCACCCGCGCCAACCCCTCCCCGCTGTCTCCTTCACCAGCTGCGGCGTCTTCGCCACGTACGCCAGGGCCTCTTTGATCTCGGCCTTGTCTTTGACAGCGCTGGTAGGGGGACATTGCCCCCCCCCAAAACCCCACCCCCTCCTGCCGCGCAGCCAGGGGGGGCCCGACCGCGCGGGCCGGGCCGAAGACACGCGGGGCAGCGAAGGGGGAACTGGATCTTGACCCGAGTGGACGCGGGACGAGAGAAGGGGACATGCGTGCATCATGGGTGACAGGGGGAGAGGGCAGGGGGAGGGAGGGAGTGCGGAAAGGGGCGGATGGCATAGGAGGCGAGAAGATGACGCGGCTCGAGGGAACGGATGCGAGGGGGAAACGCACACTTTTTGGGGTCGCGGCCCCGCGAGCAGGGACGATGCGGAGCAACACGCACACGCGCGCACACACACGCGCGCGCAATTGCAGATTCCTCCTCCGAACCGCCGCCCTCTTACGAGGGCCCACTGGCCAGGTGCCGCCGCCCCGCGCTGATATATATATATATATATATATACATATACATATACATATACATACATACATACATACATACACACACATACATACATACATACATACATACATACATACATACATACATACACATACATACATACATACATACATACATCATGCATGCATGCATACATACATGCATGCATGCATATATGCATGCATACATACATACATACATACATACATACATACATACATACATACATACATACATATGTATATATAAGTACATATACACAAACATATATATATGTATATGTATATATATATATACACATCTATGTATATATATATGACACACAGTCACCGCGGGGGTGAGCCACCAAAAAGGAGCGGAGCGTGGGGCCATGGCGGCCCCACGATAAACACATTTAAACGTGGGGTGGCAGGCGGGCCACTCTGGGCATGCACGATCCTCCCCCGCCTCCGTCCATAAATGATACTGGGGAAAAACACCAATCATATTCCCTACCTAGGCTCTGCCTAGAAGGGTTCTTACTGTGTTCTCTTAAAGGGCCGGGCAGTGAAAATCGCCCCGGGCGGTTCCCCCGGCATCCGCCCCGCGGTTCCCCCAGTTGCGCCCCCTGGGTTCACCCAGCTTAGCTAAGCTAATAGCTTAGCCTAGCCTAGCCCAGCTTAGCTTAGTTTAGCTTAGCTTAGCTTAGCTTAGCTTAGCTCAGCTCATTCATCTTAGCTTAGCTTGGCTTGGCTTGGCTTGGCTTGGTTTAGCTTAGCTTCGCGTAGCTTAGCCTAGCCTAGCTTAGCTGAGCTTAGCATAGCTTAGCTTACCTTAGCTTAGCTTAGCGCAGCGCAGCATAGCGCAGCACAGCATTAGCACAGCATAGCATAACATAGCCAAGCATAGCATAGCATGGCATAGCTCAGCATAGCATAGCATAGCATAGCGCAGCATAGCATAGCATAGCATAGCATTGCTTAGCATAGCACAGCGCAGCATGGCATGGCATAGCACAGCATGGCATATCATATCATACCATATCATAGCACAGCATAGCGTATCATATCATATCATAACATGTCATATCATGGCATAGCGCAGCATAGCATATCATAGCCTAGCATAACATAGCATAGCGCAGCATAGCATAGCACAGCATAGCATCGCGCAGCATAGCATAGCAACATAGCATAGCATAGCGCAGCATCGCATGGATGTGAGTCTCGCTGTTGATGTCGATGTAGATGTAGATGCAGGTGTAGATGTAAATATAGCTGTCGGTGTAGATGTAGATGTTGCTTTCCTAAATGCTCCAACTCCTAGGTAGGGTCGCACTGGGATAATTATTTTTAGGGCTATATGGCTATTGGGCTATAGGGCTATAGCGCTCTAACTATACAAGGCTGTGGGGCTTTCAGGGCTTTAGGGCTATAAACCTATAAGGCTATAGGGCTATAGGGCTATAGGGTTATCTGGCTTTAAGGTTAGAAGGCTGTAAGGCTATAGGGCTACCGGGCACCTGGGCACCCGGGCGTGCCGCCGAAATCGGCGCTATACTTCAGCTAACCATATGAATCCGCTAGGACCACTACAGAGGCAAGCTCTGATTGGGGAATATTCGCGCACGCACGCACGCACAGGGCGGCTCCTAGGGGGGCTGGAGGGAGGAGGGCGAAGAACGATTGACACCCGCCAAGATACGCCCACATCCCCAAACAGGAGGAGGAGGAGGAGGAGGAGGAGGAGGAGGAGGAGGAGGAGGGGGAGGGGGAGGGGGAGGGAGAGGGGGAGGGCGAGGGGGAGGGCGAGGAGGAGGAGGAGGAGGAGGAGGAGGAGGAGGAGGACGAGGAGGAGGACGAGGAGGAGGAGGCCCCATACTCAAAAATAGAAGCCCCCAAAATGAGCCTGTGCATCCCGTGGGCCCAAAAAATGAGCACTGGTCTCCCAATGTCAGCACGTTCAGGGTCGGGCGCAGATTCTGGGTTGGCCGCAAGATATCCCGCGACCCTCTGGGAACGTAGTCTCAGGATCGAGGTTTAAGGTTTGAGGTTAAAGATTCTCGGGCGTCTCTCTGCGGTTTTCCAGCCTCGGGATGCCTTCCAGCAGCTGCGCCTCGCCGAGGGCGTTCGCAGGGTGCCCAGATTGTCCTGAATTGCCGCCGGAGGCTTGAGATAGGACCCGAAGACGCAGGGGGGAATGCATCGACCACGGATCGCCCATTAATCGCCGATAGGGGGCCCGAGAGACCACCCCGCCAACGAGCATGCGGATTCGCAATCGGGGGCCCATCGCTGATCCATCGGCGATGTATCGCCAATTTCAGGTCGATGCTCCTCCCCTCGGATGCGCTCCCCCCTGACATTGCCCCTGAGGATGACGCAGGAACTTATCGAGCGGTCCGCCCAAGTGGATGCTCGTGAGAAGAGGATGCGGACACCGCTCCACATCGCGTGCAAGGAGGGCTACGCGGAGGTTTGCCTCGAGCTGCTAGTCAAGAAGGCCGACGCGAACGCCGCGGACGTGTGCGGCGAGACGTCGGTGCACAAGGCCAGCATACCTAGGAGCATGCAGGCCCTCAAGCTCGTCTGCGAACAGGGCGGCGCAAACCTGGCAGCCTCGGACAGCCTGGGCATGACGCCCCTGCTGCACGCCGCCAAGGCTAGACGACGAAACACCTGCATAAGCATGAACTCCCCTCCCTGGTGGACACTTGCAAGAGCATGAACACCTGCATGTGCATGAGCACCTGCTTGAGCTCCCCGCGGATTCCTCCCCCCGGCGCGCGGAGCCTCCGGCGCTGCAAGGGAGGCCCCAGCGCCGCTCCGAGAAATCCGCGCCGAGCTCCGGAAGCTCATGCAGTGCGGCCTTCTGAGTTGCTGCCCTCCACATCGCCCGATCGGCTAGTTTCCGTCCCGCTCGGATGCTAGACCTTGATTCGCCCGTCTCCCTCTCTCTCTCTCTCTCCCTCTCTCCCTCTCCCTCTCTCCTTCTCTCTCTCTCTCTCTCTCTCTCTCGGGGGGCGAACCCTATTCTTCGTCCGTCCTATGAAGGACGCGAACGTGGAGTTCATAGCGTACCTGCTCGCCCAGGACGCCGGCCTGGCCGGCGCCCGGAACCAGGCGGGCTGGACGGCGCTGCACCTCGCAGCGAACGGCCAGGACACAAAGGCCAACTCATTGTCGCCCCCGAGGTACTGCAACTCCGTGAGGGCGCTGCTCGAGGCGATGATGAGAATGGTGATGAAGAGTAGGATGGTGATGCTAGGGGAGGATAATGAGGATGATGATGGGGAGACGATGAGCAACAAGACGATGCTGATGATGATAATGATGATGATTGTGATGGCGACGATGATGATGGTGTTCATGATGTTGATGATGATCATGATGATGACGATCATATTGTTAATAATAATAATAATATTAATAATAATAATGATGATGATGATGATGATGATGATGACGATGATGACGATGATTGTGGTTTTGGCGGTGGTGATGATGGTGATGGTGATAGGCATGGTGTTGGTGTTGGTGATGGTGGTGGCGGTGATGACGATGACGATGACGATGACGATGACGATGACGATGATTCTGATGCTGATGATGACTGTGATGATGATGATGATAATGTTGATGATGATGATGATGATGACGCTGATCATGTTGATGTTGATGATGCTGATGATGATGATGACGATGATGATGATGATGATGATGCTCATGATGATGATGATGATGATGATGATGATGATGATGATGATGATGATGATGATGATGCTACAGGTCTGTGAAACGTGGTCTTGGAGCGCAGCTCGTCCCATCGTCCAGAAGTTCGCATGCACGCTCAAGAGCAGGGGGGGGGGGGGAGCTCCCTGGGGCCAGCGGGCAGCGCGCCCCAGGGAGCCCTTCCCCCCCCCCCTCCCCGACAATTGTCATTTTTTGATGGCGGAAAAATGATGGTAGGATGGTGATGTGATGATAGTGGTGATGATGACGATGATGATGGTACCAATGATGATGAGGAAGAAAATGATGAAGACGATGACGGTGATGGTCATGATGATACGGCTCTTCGAGACATGGTCCTGGAGCGCAGCTCGTCCAAGCCACTATGCATTCGTATGCACGCCCAAGTGCGGTGGTGGCGAGGCCCCCCCGCAGGGCTAGCGGGCAGCGCGCAGTGATCCTGGTGATGCTCGGGTGATGGTGGTAGTGATGATTACGACAACGATCATGATGAGTTGGAAGAGGATGCGGATGAGGATGCGGATGATGTTGATGCTCCTGATGATGATGATGATGATGATGATGATGGTGGTGCGGATGACGATGCTTATGCTGATGATGATGATTATGATGATGATGCTGATGATGCTGATGATGCTGATAAAGATGATGATGAGGATGGTGGTGGTGGTGGTAGTGTGGTGATGATGCTGATGATGATGCTGCTGATAATGATGATGATGATGATGCTGATGATGGTGATGCTGCTGATGATACGGATGCCAATGATGATGATGCTGCTCATGATGATGATGATGATGATGATGATGATGCTGATGATGATGCTGCTGATGATGATAATGATGACGATAAAACTGTTGATGATGATGGTGATGATGCTGATGTTGTTGATGATGACGATGATGATGACGGTGATGATGGCGCTGCTCGAGGCGAGGGCGGCCGTGGACGAGGTGGACGAGGACAACAGGACCCCCCTGCACCGCGCGGCGGCCGTCGGGAACTGCGGCTCCGCTGGCCTGCTGATCGACGCAGGCGCGAGCGTCGAGGCGGCCGACGTGTGCAGGTGGCCTGCCTCCTCCTCCTCCTCCTCCTCCTCCTCCTCCTCCTCTCTTTCCGTAGCCATTTTGGCTCAAGCTGTTTCTTCCCGCTTTCGTGCCTCAGCCATTTCCGGGTGATGGCGGGCAGACGGCGTGGCTACGGGGGGCGGCCCGCCCGTGTGGCTGCCCAGCTCGCAGCGGGCTGCCGAGATCTGCGCCCTCGGGCCCGCTGCCGCGCGCCGCGCTGCTCGCCACCGTCGTCAGGCAGCCTGCGAGGCAGGCCTGCGCGCGCAGGCAGCTGGCGGCGGCCCCGGCAGCTGGCAGGACCGGGAGTTGGCCTCCCGCCCAGCCCTTCGCCGTGTCGCCGCCGGCCTTCGCGCACCTGGCCGCGCTCGACGTCGCCGTAACGCGGCCTGGCATTCCGCGGTGGCGCCGCCGAAGGGCTTCTCGTCGGCGTCGGACGCGGAGATTTCTGCAGCGGCTTCTGGACCCAGGCTGGGCGCAGCTGCTCGGCCGCTGCTGGCGGAGGCGGAGGTGCTGGCAGCAGATGGGCTCAGTGACGGAGCGCGTGGTGCTCATGCGTCAGGTGCCGCGTTGTGGGACGTCTTCTCCTGGCTGTGCCCTCCTGGCGGGGCCGCGCTGGCATCGCCCACGCTCCCAGCGGGGATCGGGGTGTGGCACGCCGCCCACCTGGAGGAGTTGCTGCAGGCGAGGGCGCAGCCCGCCATTGGCCCCAAGTACGTCGTCATCGAGGTGCCGCCGCTGAAGCCGCCGCCTGTCGTTGATGGCGATCCTTGCGGAGGTGCCTGCCCTTCCGCCGAGCGCCCTGCAGATCTGGCCCCCTCCTGTCTGCTGCAGGGCCTCTGGGAGCCACTTTCGGAACACAGCCCTCCCTCCATGCCCGAGCCCCCTGTCGAAGCGGAGGCGGGGCGCAGCGCAGAGGAGGGAGCTGTGGGGCCCAGAGTTGGCGACGCATATTCATTTTGCAATCCTTCGGACCGCTCAGGAGAGGACGACCTCAGCGAGATGCACGACGGTTTCGACAATATTTTCACTGTTGACGCGTCGCTTGGTGTCCCTGCTACGACTTGTGGTGTACGGCGTGCGTGCACCACGGTCCACGTTGTCCAGCTCGTCGATGCGGCGCTCACCGCGGAGTTGGAGGGTCACACTTGCGACGGATGCTCGGCGGTTATTGCTGAAGCCGATGGGTCTGACTCCGAGGCTCTGTGGTGCAGGGACTGCGGCATGTTCGTGTGCCCCTGCTGCTGGCCGCCCTGGCTGGAGAAGCGCGTCGACGTGATTGCGAGTTCATTAAAGTGATCACCTCGTGGTCTGCCTGGCCGTCGTCTTCGTGCAGCCGTACACGTACGGCCAGGAGGAGCGGAGTAGTGGGGGTCTCCGCCAGAGGAGTGTAGCGGCAAATCCTCCTCCTCCTCTCCCTTCCTCCTACCCCTCCTCCTCCTCCTCCTCCTGCTGCTCCTCCTCTTCCTCCTCCTCCTCCTCCTGCTGCTCCTCCTCCTCCTCCTCCTCCTCCTCCTCCTCCTCATCCTCCTCCTCGTCCTCCTCCTCGCAATCGGAGCCCGCCCACCGCGGGCCTCCCCTCGCGCTTTCTTCCGCCCCATCTTGTCCTTCTCGTTCTTACCTCGTCCCCGCACGGAAGAGCGGACACTGTGTCGGCTGCTGCCGCGCTGGATCGCAAGATGCTCGGGCCAGGAGCGCCCCGCGCTCTCGCGCCTGCTGCTCCCGCCCAGCCGCCCGATGAGACAGGAGGGCAGGCGTAGGTGGGATGAAGACTCCTCGGTACGCTCGCCCCCTCGCAATCGGAGGTTTTTGCGTCCATCTACATTGCGCAGGGGCCTTGCTGCATCCGCCAGGTGGGGTTTTTACTCCCGAGCGCTCATGCTTCACCCTACCTTACTTCCTCCTCCTCCTCCTCCTCCCTTCTCCTTTTCCACCCTTCTCCTCGTCCTCCCTCTTCCTCCACCTCCTCCCCTTGTCCTCCTCTCCCGCCTCTTCCGCCTCCGCGTGGGGGGTAGGCTGGGACTTGGGACCCTTCTTACGCTCGCCTCCGCCGCCGCCCCCTCCTCCTCCTCCTCCTCCTTCATCCCCCCACCCCTCTGCCACGCGGCGCGCTGCGAATGGGGACATGTGCAGGTGGCGCCCGATGCACCACGCGTGCCTGGGCCCTCACGAGAAGATGGTGGTGCCCGAAGGAGAAAAGGCGGCACGAACATAAACTTTCGGAGCTGCGTTGGGATCTGCGTTGGGTCCCCCCTGGCAGCACCTCCGGCCCCGCCCTGGGCGCGCTCCGCGCGCCAGGGCGCGCGGAGAAACGCGCGGAGCGCGCCGTTCCAGCGCCGATCCGGGAGATACGCGCGCAGCGCAGCTCCGAAAGCTTACGTTTATGCCGTCGTTTCTTCTTCTAGGTGCTCCTGCTCGATAGGAAGGCCGTCGTCGAGGACAGCGCGCGGCATTGGCAGGGCCCACAGTCGGGTCGGCGTAGGAAGGGTTTCAGTTGGTGCAAAATCTGTTCGCCGTTCCTCCCGGTCAGGAGCTTTTGCTAAGCGTGTCGCGCCGCCGATTCTGGCCCACCACGCCTGTGTTCGACACGCTGACCACGTCCCACTCCCTGAGCGTCAACGTCTCGAGATTGTCCTGAATCCCCGCCCCGCACAGCGAAGCGACGCGCCATCTGCTTGCAATGCATCGCCAGGGCCGCCGCTGCGACACGCTAGAGGCAAGTTCATCACCGTAGGCTTGCCCGTCAGCGGAAGTGCCAACCCCACTCAGGATACAATGACACGTTTCTGCATTCGACTTGAGCTGCGTTGGGTACACGCAAACGGGCCCCGCCCCCTCGAGACCCTGCCAACACCAACTTTGCGACGCGCCCATTCGGGTTCAAGATTCGTTGCGCGACATCCGACCCCGAATCAAGTTTCTGGGTCAGCGTTGGGGGTCGCCGCGGAGATCGCGGTGGCCACAAATCGGAGTGGCGTGCCCCTTCCCCCCCCCCCCCCGCTCTGCGATGTAGCCGTGGTTCAAACTAACCATACTGCGGCAGAGAGTTGTCAGCTGACGTCCAGCATGTGCAGTCATGGGTTTTGTTGGTCAGGGGCTGAGCACCCCGCAACCATAGACGGAGGTATGCCGCCACCTCTTGCAAGGGATTGGTGCTGGGATCCAGGTGGCACGCCGGTGGTTTTTGGTGAACGAGGGCTCCGGCATGGGTGGGCCGTCGGCGGTTCCGCGGCTCCTCTTCGGGTCCGTTTACCGGAAGGCCTTGGCTTGCCAGGGTGCCGTATCATGAATTCGGTTCTTCTGCCCTCCACGTGGCCCGCTCTGGTCCTGCCAGGCGAAGGACCTCGGCTGCGTCACCCCGCTTGCGCTGGCGACGGTGGAGAACATGCCGGGGATGGTGGAGCTGCTGTTGAAGCGCAGGCCAGGAGCCAACGCGGGGAATCACCCTTCGGCGACCACAGTGGGGTGTCCTGGGTTTCTTCGGTTCCGATGGTTTCGCCATGGAGAGCGTGACGATCCCACCAGGGTCAGGTTTCTTGTGGAAGGTTTCTTGTGGGCTAGCCTCCATTGCAACGCCAGGGTGTGGTGCACGCGGGGTCTGTACTCTGAGGCCCCGCGGTCCAGGGTCCCTTTCCTTCTCGGGAGCCTTGAGGCGGGGGTCAATGCATACGGGGGTCAGCCAGGGCGCCGGATCTTGCAGCAGCCTACAGAGCCAGGGCTGCACTGACCCGGGCTTGCGTGCAGAATCCTGGAGGATCCTGCAAAGCCCGACTGGCCGGGGTTCGGATGGACCCGGGCTAATTTGTAGATCTCCGACCCCCTCTGCATTCTTTCCTCTCCTTCTCCTCCTGCCTGCTCGGTTCCTTTTCTCATAAATGATCCTCCCTATCCCGCCCCCCAGACGCGTCGGCATGGCGGTCCAAGCGTTTCGCCTGAGACCTCCTCGCCTGGAGCTTGACATGGATTAACAGCTTCGAGGACTAAGCAGAGGTCGCTTCCAAAATGGGACTCTCGCCTTTTCGCCGCCCGTCGTCTCAGAGTGTGCAACAGCCTCAGGGATGGAAGGGGGGTTGCTTTCCAAAGTGTGGTCCTCCCTTGACCGTCGCGCACCTTCGTCTCAAATTCAGAACGGGGCTCTCGCTTCCGGGCCGTGTGCCAGCGTCTTAAAAGTTCTGCATCAGTTTCAAGGATGGAAGTGGAGATTTGTACAAGGCGGCTCTTTCTTCGCCTTGCACCGCGCTTCAGCGATGGTTCTCGCTGTAGCACCGCGCATAGTTGTTCGAACATTGTGCCATGGTTTCAAGGAAGTGGGCTGTTCCTTGTCAAATGAGGCTCTGACTCCGGCTCCGCGCACAGTCATGAAACCAATCTCGCAATTTATCCGAGGGTGGAGCATATCTCGTTTTAAACGTGTCCCTCTTGACACAGCGCCGCACGCGTTCGCTGTTTCGTTTGCGCTACATGTCCGATCTGTTTCAACATCGGGTCTACGCTCGAGACTTCGCGCATCTTGAGTGGCAGGAGCTTCTTCAGCACATGTGGCACTGCAACACGTTGTGCTCGCTCGAGACTTCCTCTTCGAATGGTCTTTCTTCGAATGGTCTTTCTTCGAGACTGACTCTTCGAATTCTTCGCGTACCGTGGTCTCACGTGTGGAGAGGGGGGTCTTTCTTCGATCAGGGGATCTCGCTGGACACCCCGCTGAAGCGTACGCTGATAGTTCGTCGCATTCCTGAATGGTGCAAGGCGCAGGGCACTTCCTTGTCAAAGCGGTGCCCTCGCCAAAATGGCAGTCCAAAGTGTGCCGGTCTTTCAAGGTGGGGCGTTTCTTGTAGCGTGTATTGCAGCATCGTTGATGCATTTGGGGGTTTCCTCTGGCCCTCCTCCCTACTCTTCCTCCTCTGCCCTCCTCACCCTCCTCCCTCCTCCCAACCTCCGCCACCTGCCCCTTCCTCCTCCCCCTCGTCCTCCCCTCTTCCCATCATCTCCCCCGTCCCTCCCGCTCTCCCTTTCCCTTCCCTCCTCCCTCCCTCCCTCGCGATCCGATCCGAACCTGCTCCGAGGGGGAGGAGAGGGAGGAGGAGGAGGAGGAGGAGGAGGAGGAGGAGGAGGGGGAGGAGGAGGAGGAGGGGGAGGAGGAGGAGGATCCTCCCTGCCTCCCTGGCGCAGGGCGGACCCGAACCTGCGAGGCCCGGGGGTGGACTCCCCCATGGCGATCGCGGGGCGCCGAGCCGGCCCGACGGGCGCCAGGCAGGGAGGAGGCAGAGCCGAGAAGCGGGAGGGGGGCCCGCGGAGGAGGTGCGCGAGGGGGGCCGCGGAGGGGATCCAGAGATCCCCCGCACCGAGAACATCAAGCTCCGCGCTCGGCCTCTGGAGGCCTTCGCCGGGCCTCGGGGCCGCCGTCCAACATTGTGCCGGGTGGGGAACGGGTCCCGGGGAGTGGGTCGAGATCTCCAAGGGTCGACGCTGTGGACAGATCATGACGTCGGTGGTCGTGGTGCGGGAGATGGCGGAGGTGGACGAGGGCGATAGCTGCTGACAGTGGAAGGGGAAGAGCGAATATGGGCAAGAGGAGCTGAAAGCGGATGAACAGGCGGGCGGAAGAAAGGTCGGGGGAGAAAGGAGAGGGACTGGAGGACTATCGCGACAGAAGATGGCGGATGATGGAAAAGGAGGGGGGAGGAGGTTCTGCTTCCCAGGGCTCTCTAAGCTCAGTACAGGATAAAGAACGAAAGGTGGACAGAAAGAGAAAGAAAGAGAGCGAGAGATCATGATAGAGAAGGATATGGATATTGAAAGAGGGAGAGAGAGAGCGAGATAGAGAGTGAGTGAGAGAGAGAGAGAAACAACGAACATGTGTATGCTTATATATATATAGAGAGAGAGAGAGAGAGAGAGAGCGAGAGAGAACACACAACACAAGAGAGGGAGAGAGAGGTAACGATCTATCTAGAAGGCCATTCATAAGCCGATAAGGAGGTTGGGTGGAGAAAACTAACGAAGGGATAACCGTCAGGACAGCATATTTCGAACAATCTCTATCGGAGGATCTATCTGTATATCGATTTCAAATTATACCCGTCGGTCGATCGAAGATGCCTACGGCGAACCAGCGCCGCCCCCTGCCTTTTACCATGCGCCTGCGCGGCCGAACGTTGTGGCCAGAGCTCGGCCCAGCTATCGGACTGCGTGTTCCCCCAACCGTGGTGGAGACCCTTTGGGGGAGCTCGTAAGGGGGGAGGAGAAGGGGGAGAAGACGGAAACAGGAGGAGCAGGATGAGGAGCATGATGAGGGCATTCCTGTCGCATCTGCAGCGGCAAGAATGCCGCGCCGAGCGATGGGGCCCCGTCTGTGGACAAGCGTCTGGGCGACACGCGGCCGCGCGCCGTCGGCGTCGACGGACGGAAGCGCCCGTAGATCTGGGGCGAGCTGCAGCTCTACACGGGGCGCACGATACAGTCGGGGCCCTGAAGAAGGAACCCTTTTCGTTGGGGAGGGGCTCCGCGTTCCTTAAGTGTTCCACAGCTTGCCTCAGGCTTTCCTTATGCTTTCGACAAGACATCGAAGGTTCACTTATGGAAAAAAGGGGCCTTGTTCCTTATTTAGGGTTTCTTAGGTCAACGCCCCGACTGCAGCACTGCAGCCTGTGGCCCCGCACATCTCGGAATCGCCCCTTTCCGCATTTCCGCGAGCGCGCGGCGGGCCAGAGTTCTTCTGGGACGCGTGCGCCAGGCGCCCGCCAGAGACCCCGTGGGCTGGTCCACGGGAGCTCGTCGCCGCGATGGCTCGTCGGGCGGACTCGCAGTTCGGGGGCGATCGGGCGGCGGCCCCCGCGACGCGGCGCGCGGCGCATGTCCCGCGGCCCGAGCGCGCCAGGAGCACGCAAGGAACAAACATGAGTCGGCGTTCGAGGAGGACTGCCCCGAGAGGATCGGGGAGTCGCAGGAGCTCCCTGACGCGCCCCGCAGTGGCAGCGTCGGCGCAGGACGCGCGGGTTTGAAAGCATTCCAGCGGCCCGCCCGCGGGGGCGTCCGGGCGCCTCACCCGCCGTAGACTTTCATCCGTGAGCGCGACCTTTGTGGGCAATCGGCGAAGCGGCGCGGTCAGCAGTAGCGCAATCGCAGGAGGGCTCATGTTCCACGGCAGGATAATCGACAGATGGTGGGAAATCCGTCGCGAGAAGTGCAAGTGGGTGATTGCGTCGCTTGGCGGCGCCCTCTATGCGCCCCCATCTTATGATCTGAGGAACATCGTTGTTTGGCGCGGGTGTCGGGTCAGGGGGGGGGTTCGAGCTCGAGCGACGCGTTCCCCCAAGGGTTCGACGCTTCGTTCGGGGAATGCTCTTGTTGGACGCGAAGATCGTCTAAGTGCGCCGTAAATGAAGAACGCCAGAGAATCGGGCAGTTGTGATCCTTCAAAGCGATTTGAATTTTCCCCACATGTTCGTCGGGTTCGGTTTTCTTCTCTGCCGCGTCGCACCCGCGTCTCCTCACACACACAGACCTCCCCTCCCCCCACACACACAGCACAGCTCAGCACAGCACAGCTCAGCTCAGCACAGCACAGGGGTTCTGGTTTTCCCCACATGCTTCGTGGGGTTCTGGTTTTCTTCCCCACGTGTTTCGTGGGGTTCTGGTTTTCTTCCCCACATGCTTCGTGGGGTTCTGGTTTTCTTCCGTGCCGCGCCGCACCCGCGACACTCACACACCTCTCACACACCTCACCTCTCTCTCTCTCTCTCTCTCTCTCCCTCTCCTTCTCACACAGCGCAGCACAGCACAGCACAGCACAGCACAGCACAGCTCAACGCAGCACAGCACAGCACAGCACAGCACAGCACAGCATAGCACAGCTCAACGCAGCACAGCACAGCACAGCACAGCTCAGCTCAGCACAGCTCAGCTCAGCTCGGCACCGCACAGCACATCACAGCACAGCTCAGCACAGCATAGCACACAGGGCAGGCGCGCACGGCACGGCACGGCAGAGCGTGGCAGGGGTGGCATTTTCTCGACATCCTCGACACCAGAGGGGGTGCGCTGTGGGTGGGGGCCCTATGCGTTTCGGGCTCGCAAAGCGTGGCAGGCGTGGCACTTCCTCGACACCAGAGGGGGTGCGCTGGGGGTGAGGGCCCTATGCGTTTCGGGCTCGCAAAGCGTGGCAGGCGTGGCACGTCCTCGACACCAGAGGGGGTGCGCTGGGGGTGGGGGCCCTATGCGTTTCGGGCTCGCAAAGCGTGGCAGGCGTGGCACTTCCTCGACACCAGAGGGGGTGCGCTGGGGTGGGGGCCCTATGCGGGGCAAAGCGGGCAGGCGTGGCACTTCCTCGACACCAGAGGGGGTGCGCTGGGGGTGGGGGCCCTATGCGTTTCGGGCTCGCAAAGCGTGGCAGGCGTGGCACTTCCTCGACACCAGAGGGGGTGCGCTGGGGGTGGGGGCCCTATGCGTTTCGGGCTCGCAAAGCGTGGCAGGCGTGGCACTTCCTCGACACCAGAGGGGGTGCGCTGGGGGTGGGGGCCCTATGCGTTTCGGGCTCGCAAAGCGTGGCAGGCGTGGCACTTCCTCGACACCAGAGGGGGTGCGCTGGGGGTGGGGGCCCTATGCGTTTCGGGCTCGCAAAGCGTGGCAGGCGTGGCACTTCCTCGACACCAGAGGGGGTGCGCTGGGGGTGGGGGTGGCCCTATGCGTCGGGCTCGCAATGCGTGGCAGGCGTGGCACTTCCTCGACACCAGAGGGGGTGCGCTGAGGGTGGGGCCCCTATGCGTTTCGGGCTCGCAAAGAGGGGGTGCGTGGCAGGCGTGACACTTCCTCGACACCAGAGCGTGGCAGGCGTGCGCTGGGGGTGGGGGCCCTATGCGTTTCGGGTTCGAAAAGCGTGGCAGGCGTGGCACTTCCTCGACACCAGAGGGGGTGCGCTAGGGGTGGGAGCTCGTATCTTGTCATGAAGTGTAAACACCCTGGCTCCAGCCGGCTCGGCGCGCGTGCGCTCTCACGCAGGCGCGCTCCTGTAGTCCTACTTCAGAGCACCGCCCTTCCTGCGCGCGGCAGTCATGCCGCCTAAACTTGCCATGGACGCTCTGCCGCCTCCGTGTCTGGCGATGACAAACGTCATGATTCTGACGGGCGGCGAGGTCAGTGTGGAGAGCTCGCGCCGATGCGCAAGTGGAGTGGTGCTTCGTATGCTACGACGACGGGTACGACGAGCACGACGACGAGCACGACAAGTACGACGACGATTCGCGACGAGGGTTTAGAACGCAGGATTGCGCATAGATGATAATGACAAGCAAGCACGTAAGATTAAACATCATCCGTATGTGGGGTTCCTCGGTAGCGTAATTTGAAGTTCTGATTTCCTCTGGAGTCGTCCGCAGGCCGGTCGCCGGCAACGCGGCGGCGCTGCCGCGCGCGCGCGGGCTTTCGAAGTTGACGCTCAAGATAGCCAGGGAGTCGGTCCGCCTCGCCGGGAAGCTGCCCAGGACTAAGCCGCTGCGACGAGCCCAAGTCGGATCGCGGGTGTAGTGCGGGGACTGCCCCGTCCTGACCGTTTCGCCGAACGAGCGGCATTTTGCCCTTGCGTTTTTCCTCGAAATGTGCCGACGGAGCAACGCGATTGTCGAGCATCGGGAGAAGTGCAATGAGATGGTGGCCAGATTCGATAACCTTCGCTTGTAGCAGGACGTCGACGTGGAGTTCCCTGAGCACGACTTGGGGCGGGCGGCGAGTGCGCGCGACCCGCGCGCCGCGAGTAAGGCAAGCAAGTGCGAGATATGGCTTGGCCCCACGATGGCGCTCGGAGCGCGCGCGCGCCCGAACGGCCAGCGGCGCAGCTACAACGGCAAAGACTGTCGGGACAAGTTCGGCAACGACGTGCGGCCTGCCAGCGTCTCGGGCGGCGTCGTGGCCGTCGGTGGCGACGCTGGGCGTCGGGGGCACGTGGCTCTGCGCCTGCGTCTGGATAAACGCGCTGCGAGCGTCTATCGGTCCGCGACGTTGCCCCAGATAGCTGGGGCCCGAAGAAATGCGAGCTCGCGCGCGTCAGTTCCTCCGCGATCACATCTGCTACCACTCAGAGGAAGCGTTCGCAGGGAATTCCACGAAGATGGCGTCGTCGACGATCGAGGAGCAGCGGCGCGCCCGAATCGCAGGAAAGCAGAACGACTTTTCATCCTTCACCGCCGACTGCATCGCCAAGGCTGCCGCGATGGGCTGTAGACGGGGTCAGCTTCAAGAGCAAGTGCTTCGCGCACGCGCAAGAAACACTCAGCAGTGCGCGGCGCCACGTGCGCCAATGTTTTTTGAAGTCGCGCCTGAACAAGGGCAGGAATCATTGCGTCATCTGCAACGACCGCCTCCCGAAGCAGACAGATTGCGAGAGGCCCGCGCGGCAAACCCTGGCAGCGCCCAAAATCGTTTGGAAATCCATGAGTCCATGCCATTAAGTTTTGTGCAGCCCCTCTGCCGCTGAGGAGCTGCGTGAGCCTTGGGGTCACTCCACATCGCGCTGAAGGCACGGCGGTGGATCTCAGTATTGTACAATCGACACCGCTACCGATATATCGATCTCCCTTCATATCTATATGTCCCGCAGTCGACTTGTCGATATCGCAATATATCGTTCGATGCCCTATTGATCCATCCATATATCGATTTCTTAGACCATCCATCGATGTCATCATATACCAATCGAGCCCACGATCTATCATAGTATTGATCGATGTGTCGGTCTGTATGTACAGTGCTTAGGTGTGTGTATATACATATAACTTCCACGTTCTATCTACCAGTTTCACCATCAGTCCTTCTACCATCGGGGCAACCCTCGGGACAATCATCGAGACAACCATCGGGACAACCATCAGGACAGCCATCGGGACAAGCGTCGAAACAATCGGGACAACCATCAGGACAACCACAGGGACAGGTACGGGATAACCACGGGACGGGCCACGACGGGACAACCGCGGCACATCCGCGCGCCCAAATCCGCTTCGCTTGCCCTGCAGCGGCGGAGTCATTCTGCCTTCGCCCCTCAGCGGCGGAATCACTGCTCTCGCCCACTCACGCAGCTCCACCTCTCCCGCACGCACGGCACGAAAACGAAATATAATCCGATGTCACGGGGGGGGGGGGTTCAGTGTCACTTCGTTCTCACCGCTTTTTAACCTCCGACCCATATGTGTACATATATACACAGAGAAAGAAAGAGAGAGAGAGAGAGAGAAAGAGAAGAAGAGAGGAAACGAAACGAGAGAGCTGCCGTGCGATGCTTACCATGTGAAGTGTGGGCACGTCGCCAGGATAGCTCGAAATCCGTGAGCGTCCTATTGCGGGCACTGGGGAGTTCTAGTCATGGGAAGAGAAAAGCACAGCTTCATCAAGGTGAGAACGTGCTGAATGAAACTTGGAACCGACTTAGACATAAGTAAGTCCACATCATGGGCCCATGCTTTTGAGGTCGAATTCGATTACGCCAGCATGGTATGTTGTGGAAGCCCGACCCACTAAACATCATGGTCTGGAAGCGTTGTTCCAACGACGCATTCGAAGGAAATGCGTAACTATGTGAAACATTCTCAGATTCTCACGCAATTCAGATGTATTCCGCGTTTAGTTCATGGAGTGATCCAGTTGCGTAGCACATGTGGTGCCCGCCAGTAGCGCTTCTCCCAAGAAAGCGCAGCTAAATTCACGAATCGGGAACTCCAGGTCTTGCGAGATTCTGGCTCATGTATGTTCGGAGGTGGACAGAACCCCACCCTGACACGTCGATTCGTGAATTGTCCGTTTTCGATTCTCGAGAGGGCGCCGCGGCCGTCATTTTCCAGGTTTGCGCCCGCCAGGTTTGGGCCCGATGTCGTTTTCATTAAACCACGGTTTATTAAAGGGGGTTCTGTCCATCTCCGATATGTCCTGAGGTATATTGGGTCATCGGGCCACCACTCTTGGGTCCCTCCAAAGGCCCTTCATCCCGGGTCAGAGTTCTTGGCGAATCTTGGCATTGAGTGGCACGAAGTTGCTCGAGGTAATTTATGTTTGATGTGGCTGCCGTCCTCTCCGGCTAGTAACGAACCCTACCATTCGGGTCCAATCGCCGCCGGGGGTATCGGACTCCCCCTTGGGTTCACCCGGTTGCAAACATCCGCCAAAGCCTGAATCCATGAGTTGTTTGTAGAAATTTGATCTGCAGGGGTTGGCTTCACGTGTGGCTGCTTGCATTCGATGTTTAAAGGCGTTCGCGTCCCTGTCGGATCAATTCAATTCAAGTTTGTCGGCCCAAAGCGTTCACCACGTTGCGAGACACCGAGGCCAGAAAGGACAAGGGCAAGTACGAGGACATACTATCCTTGTTCATCAGCTACGCCAAGTAGCCGCTTGACCCGCGGCGCTCGAGCTGAGTGGGACAAGGGCACAGCACTTCCGAGCCACTTAGCAATGCTAGCTTATTGGTCCGACCGCCTCCGCCTCCTCCTCCTCCTCCTCCTCCTCCTCCTCCTCCTCCTCCCCCTCCTTCTCCTCCTCCTCCTCCTCCTCCTCCTCCTCCTCCTCCTCCTCCTCCTCCTCCTCCTCCTCCTCCTCCCCTCCGCGAGGCGGAGGAGGACCAATTGGGACATAAGAGGACCAATTGGAGGGAGACAGAGGGGAGTGGAGAAACCAGTCTTCCCTTCTCTCCTCCCCATTCTCATCACTGGCGCAGTGCGCACGCTGGCCGCCCGTGGCGCACACCCGCTTCCTTCGTCCGTCCCTCGCTGTTGTGACCACCGTTGTGTTGTGACCGCAGGTCGCCCCATCTGACCCGAAGAGGCGTCAGACTACTCCAGATTTCGTAATAAAGGGAGGGGGGTCTCATTTCGGGGGGGGTCTCTTCCAGGCTATCTTGGAGGGCCTGGGGGGGTCTGGGGACGATGTTTTGGAGGGTTCTCCCACGGGGGGGGGTCTGAAATGGCTTGTCTTGGAGGGTCCAGACCCCCTCCCTTTTATTACGAGATCTGGAGTAACATTCCCCGAGGGCGAGTGTCCCTCGGGCCATGCAGTCTGGCCACGAAGGCTTCACTCGTTGGCGGCTGGCTAAAATAAGCCTGGCCGCCAATGAGAGTTCTAGAGCCCACCCCGTTGCCAACATAGTTCTGGTCGCTGCATGCGTTGCAAGGCTTAGAAATGCTCAGTCTCGCTGCGTCCATCAAGCTATGCCATCGTCCGGGCCCCATGCTAGGTTTCCCACTTGTACCTCGCACAGGAAGCCTCCCACACGTCATACAATGTTCGGGAATGTCATCTGAGATGAGCTTGACGATATCACATATACCTGCTCGAGGCTGACAGGCTCTATATCGTGGTTTTCTCGGTTGCATAACGGCAAGCTGTGCTCAGGGTTCCATTCGACTGTGCTATGAGTTCTTATTCAGGAGGTGGGGAGCATCACTGCTCTGCGACACACTCGGCCCTTGCAGCACACTTTCTGTGGCAGGCCCTACACTTGGGATTGTGGCCTCGCCGAATCGGTGTGAACCTCGTGTGTTCAAGAACGATCTCTTTGAAGCAGACTTCCACCATTGGAGAAGCCAGTCAAGCAAGAGCGTGTGCCCTGGCTCAACTCAATGAGCTCGCACTGCGTGCTTCTCAGACGCCTGGAGAGGGCTGCCCCTGCGGCCGATGATGTTCTGGCCTAAGCCTGTCCCAGCTGTTCCTGCTGCGCCCTTTGTGCCGGTGAGCTGCTCAGCTCGGGCCGGTTCATGGCCAGCACGTTCCGATCCCCCACCCGGGTTCCGTTGCGCCCGCAGAGCGGGAGCCACGGCGGGCTCAGACGGGGAACGCGAGCACGCAAAACCCCGAGCCGGAGGTTCGTTGTTGGGCGTCATCTGGACCCTCCTGCTGTGGGTTTCTCCTCATATCCGAATGATGGGTTTCTTGTTGCTCCCCACATCCAGAGGATTTGTTTCTGGTTATTCTTCATCTCCAAGTGATGGGTTCATCGCTGTTCCTCCGACCGCGCCGACTCACACCTCCCTCCTCCCTTATCCTCCTTGTGTCATGTTATGGTGTGACATCTTACGCTATGGTAGTTGGTGATGGCGGCGACGATGATGATGATGATGATGCTGATGATGATGATGATGATGACCATGATAATGATGATGTTGATGATGATGATGATGATGATGGCGATGATCATGATGATGTTGATGATGGTCATGATGCTGATGTGCTCATGTTGATGCTGATGATGATGATGGTCCATTAACATTCCAATTCGTTCACAGGTAGTTCCACTCCCAGACCATGGGTACTCAAACCCGCTTGGATTCGAAAACTTTTGCGCCTAGACACTCACGGCGGACAAGTCCCTGTTCATATATGCACACATGTGGAGCTCCACGCAGTGACACATTTCTCCGACCGCGCCGACTCCTTCCACCTCCTCTTCTTCACCCAGAGTCTCACTCAGGCACTATTTAGGTAGTTTTGTTTACGATGATGACGATGCTGATGATGATGATGACGATGATGATGATAATGCTGATGTGCAGGATGGTGTTGTTTTTGTTGGGGATGAAAACAGTTGTAAGTATAACGATGCTGCTGATGATAGTGATGATGCTGATGCTGATGAAGGTGGCGATGCTGATGCTGATCTCATATTGATGATGATTACGACGATGACCTTGAATATGGTGATGATTATTATGATGCTGGTGATGCTGATGTTGATGATGATGTTGATGATCATGACAATTATGATGATGATGCTCATGATGATAGTGATGATGATGATGGTGATGGTGATGGTGATGGTGATGGTGATGGTGATGGTGATGGTGATGGTGATGGTGATGGTGATGGTGATGTTCATGATGATGATGATGATGATGATGATGATGATGATGGTGATGATGATGATGATGGTGATGATGATGATGCTGATCATCATCATCATCATCATCATCATCATCATCATCATCATCATCATCATCATCATCATCATCATCACCATGGTAATGGCGGAGCGAATTCTGAGGATGTCTCGGGCGAGGCTCGGATTTAAGAACCCCCAAGGGGGAGCCGCCAGGGGGTATCTCATTCCTCCGTTCGCGCCAAAACGGCGGGGACGTCTCGAGCTGTCTGCCTTTGTGCCAGCGCAGCATCATCCGCTGTCGGAGCACATTCTGAACGCCCACCCAGACGAGTCGACAGGAAAGCTGCACCGGTTCATTCGGCATTGGAATTCGAGTGTACTTGTGCAGTCCCCAGTCGGTTTCGCCAATTGACGTGTGGGTGTTGCCGTACATCCGCTCATTGGACGTCGATTTGCTACCCCGCCCGGGTCCACTCGGAATGCGATGCCGCGGAGTGCCCCTGGAATCTTTCCCCAGACCTAGACCCCCGATGTCATGATTTGTTTCATGACGTCGACCCCCAGAGTTCTCGACCCCTTCTCCGGGACTGGCTTCTCATCCTGAGTCGTTTTTCGACGGTCCCGAGGCCCGGTGAGGGCCCCCAGAGACCGAGTCGGGAGCCTCGAGACGGGGGTCAGTGCAGACGGGGGTCAGCCAGAGCGCCGGATCTTGCAGGATCCTGCAGCGCCAGGGTCGCATTGACCCGGGTTTGGGTGCAGGATCCTGCAGGATCCTGCAGGATCCTTCGCATTGACCCGGGTTTGGGTGCAGGATCTTGCAGGATTTTGCAGGCCTGATTGACCCGGGTTTGGATTGACCCGGGTCAGAAGATCCCCGACCGAGAATGCGGCAAAACCTCCCGTCATGCTTCTTGCCTTGCCCGAGGGGGGTCTGGGGGGGGGGGCTGTGGCAACCCCCGCGGGACTGACGGGGGCCTCCCCGGGCGCCCCCTCGTCTGCGCGTCGCGCCCGTGGTCGTCCTGTCAAAGATCGACTAGACGTAAGAGTGGCCTTTCGCCGGAGTTACCTGTGGTGCGGGCACAGATGGGCCCCCAGATGGCTGAAAACGAAGCAGGAGCAGCGGCTTGCGCGCCCAGGTCGGGCCCCCACGCGGCTCCCAAAAAGCCGCGCACCAGAGGTCACTCTTACCCAGGGTCACTCTTGCGCGTCGCGCCCGTGGTCTTTCTGTCAGAGAGGCCGCCCCCGGCCGCCCGCCCGCCCGCAGCGCGGCCACCGCCGCCAGGACCTCCTCGGTGCGCGGCCGCGGCGCCCGCCGGCCGCCGGCAAGGCGGGGGCGAGGGAGGCGCCGCCAGGGCCTGCTGGTGTTAGGTCGGACACGTCCTTCTACCGGAGGAGATTGCATAAATAGTCCAAGAAAAGTCCAGGGACGATCTATTTCTGTTCATGTTTGACTACTTCTGGCTGTTTTGTATATGTTTGGATGACTCTGTTTATTTTTTCTTCCAAAATCGGGCACGTCCCTCTACCGGAGGAGATTATACACATAGTCCAAGAAAAGTTCGGGGGCGGGAAAGAGGGGGGTGATGACTAGGGGGGGGATCTCATGGAGTGGGCCATGATTCTCTTGCACAGGGTGTCTAGAGCTCCGACCACTTTATTTCGGCGTCGTCGTCGCTCGCCCCCAGCTGCCTTGTGCCCTTCATGTGTCGCTATATGTGTCGCTGTGTGCCTTGTGCCCTTCATGTGCCGCTATATGTGTCGCTGTGTGTCGCTATGCGTCTCCATGTGTGCGTCGCTATGTGTCGCTGTGTGTCGCTATGCGTCGATATGTGTGTGTCGATATATGTCTCTATATGTCGATATGTGTCGACATGTGTCGCTATGTGTCGCTCCCCAGCACCCCAGCGCACCGCCCCCTCCGCCCCGACGACTTTATTTCGGCGTCGTCGTCGCCCCCCCCCCCCCCTCTCCCTCTCCTCAGCAGCCCAGCGCGCTGCCCCCTCCGCCCCGACCACTTTATTTCGGCGTTGTGTCGACATGTGTCGCTATGTGTCGCTCCCCAGCACCCCAGCGCACCGCCCCCTCGCCCCGACGACTTTATTTCGGCGTCGTCGTCGCCCCCCCCCCCTTCTCCCTCTCCTCAGCAGCCCAGCGCGCTGCCCCCTCCGCCCCGACCACTTTATTTCGGCGACGTCGTCGTCGCCCCAGCAGCCCAGCGCACCGCCCCGCCCCGACGACTGTATTTCGGCGTCGTCGTCCGCCCCCCCCCCCCCCCCTCTCTCCCTCTCCTCAGCAGCCCAGCGCGCTGCCCCCTCCGCCCCGACCACTTTATTTCGGCGTCGTCGTCGCCCCCCCCCGGTCCTTTTCCCCAGCAGCCCAGCGCGCCGCCCTCTCCGCCCCGACCACTTTATTTCGGCGTCGTCGTCGCCCTATTTCGGCGTTGTGTCGACATGTGTCGCTTTCCCCAGCAGCCCAGCGCACCGCCCTCTCCGCCCCGACCACTTTATTTCGGCGTCGTCGTCGCCCTATTTCGGCGTTGTGTCGACATGTGTCGCTATGTGTCGCTCCCCAGCACCCCAGCGCACCGCCCCCTCCGCCCCGACGACTTTATTTCGGCGTCGTCGTCGCCCCCCCCCCCTCTCTCCCTCTCC